AGAATTCATTCCCTAGGATGACATCAAAGTCGTCCAAGGGCATAGTCATCAAACTCATTTGGCCTTCCCACAGATCCACCTTTAGGCGTATTTCTACTGTACCACGTACTGGCATTGCTTCAGAATTTACTGCCTTGAGTTTGCTTGAATTCTCTGATAATTTCAGGCCAAACTTTCCCACCTTTCTCTAGGCAACGAAGTTGTGGGTGGCTCTAGTATCCACTATGGCCTGAACTTCCTTGTCATTCACCCAAGCCTAATCAAACATGAGGCCTTTGCGGGGTTGCTGAACTTTGCCCACAGCAATTGTGTTCAGCAACTAGAGAGGGTTGACTCGAGTAGGACAGTCATCATCACTGTCATTCTCACTTGCAACAACAAGGGCACTTAACTTTTCCCTCTTGGGGCAGTCTTTGACACGATGGGGACCGTCGTAGAGAAAACAGCCAGAATCAAAAATTTTCTTCTTCTAGTTGTTGTCTGGCTTGTTAAAGTCAGCAACGTTTTTCTTTTTCTTCCAATCCGCTTTCTTTGAGTCCTTGGAAATGTCAGCTTTATCTTTTCTGCCGCCACCATTCTTCTTCTTTTTCTCAAAAGGGTCTTGGCTACTGCCCATTTTGAAGTCAACAAGGCTATCTGGTGCAAAAATGGCAGTGGGCAGATCATGTACCCCCTGTCTTCGCAGTTCAGCCTATGTCTAACCTTGCAGTCCGGACATAAAGTTGAAGAGTTTGGCTTCCTCTGACATGTTCTTGATGTCCAACATCAACGAACTGAACTTCTTCACATAATCACGAACTGTTCCGATATGCTTCAACTTTTTGAGTGAGTCCCTAGCAATCTAGGTCGTATTGCTAGGGAGGAATTGATCCTTCAATTTCTTTTGAGGGTCTCCCATGTCTCAATCTTTGGACGACCAGCAGAGGCATCGTTCACATTTCAGGTCCTCCACCATAATTTGGTATCACCAGATAAATACATCCTGGTGATTGTCACTTTCTCTCCATCGGGCACATGGGCTGCCTTATAGTACTACTCCATGTCCTATAGGAAATTCTCCAGATCCTTAGAGCTTCGGGTGCCTCAAAAGGCCTTTTTGGTTCAGGGACTTTAATATTTGAAGATGTCTCGCCCACCATAGTAGGACGAGAATTCATGGCCCTCTTCACCAGGGACACTTCATCTTCAAGATCCTTCAAATTCGTTTTGACAACGTCTGTAAGAGATATGATATCCTCCATCATTGTCACAATCTTTGCATCAATGTCAGTCACGTAACTATCAAAAGTCATTTGCAATTCCGCAATCTGAATAGCGTTCTGCTCCATCTGCACAGCCACGCTGGTTGCACCATCAGTCTGAGGGGCGCCCAAAAAATCTTCGAGATGGACAATACGTTCTCGCAATTTAGCAACGTTTCCATCAGCCATGGTCACACACTGAAGCTCTGATACCAATTGTCACAGGGTTAAATTTCTCACCAAATTTCTGTCTCGTGATGGCACTAAGATCCAACACTTAGTCTCAGCCAAACACTCAGAATGCACACAGAATGCACATAGAATAAAGAATTGACAGTAAGTAAACACATAGGCAAGACACACAGAATTTACAGGCAATAGCCAAACCTTTCTTTCTCAATAAAGTATAAGGAACTCAGTCTTAGGGTCTGTTTACAAAAACGTGTCAACTCTCTTGTTACACTACAAATCCCAAGCACCTTATTTATAATATTCAGGGTGGCAGTTACAAGTCCAACTGCCTAGACACATGTCTGTAATTCAAATGCTACCAGAGGTCTGCTATGATTGGATGACAAGGAAGTTATAACTGGTGTCTGCATGCTTGTCTAAATCTGACAGAGATCTCACTTGTTGTGCACTTGCCAGAAAAATACCCAGAACTGCCACCACCTGCAGAGCACATGCCCAACTTCCTCACATGTTGTGCATGTGTCAGGAGCCCTTAGTATCCGAATTGCATTACATTCGTGCCCACTTGCCTATGTGCATAGACTGCCTCCCTCAGTCATGCAAGAGACTTCTGTCATTTTGACTAAGACATAGGTGTCTATGGGCGAGACTACCCGATGCCAAATGCTGTCAATAGCTGAGGGGGTAACAGTGTGGTACTAAGTACATTGACTCAGTACTTCAACCTCATTTCATCTCATCCATCTTAGCCTCCCATCTTGGGAATCTTGGCCTATTGGACTCTTGGCTATCACAATTTCTGAATTAAAATACCAGTAGGAAGAATTTAATTCGTAATTAATTAAAAGCAAATGAGTGAAATTGATGTACCAATCTCTTGATAGATAAAGGGGTTGACATTGCATTTAAAATACAATGGATGTGAGGTGAAGTACACATAAGCCAACTCCTAGAATAGGCATAGAACTCTACATCAACAAAAGTCTCCTCAGCTCTAGACCTCAGCATAAGTAGAGCCATCTTATATTTTGTAATGCCCTGATTTGATCCTGAGGTATCCTTAATCATATTAAAATGATTCAGAAAGAATGGTATGTAATCATTCATAGTGATTTGAGTCTTATTTGAAGTTATTTTAATCACAAATAGAATATTGCCTCGTCAACTTTGGAGATTTTAATATTAGTGGTAAGTTATTTTGAATTTTTTCTCATGATATCGTTTTTTTTCCAACTAATTTCCAAAATTATAGTTATTTTCACAAGAACTAACACCACATTTAGTTTATTATATCTTCAAAGACACACCTCTCTATTATCTAAAGCATCACTGACACCCTTTTTATTTTATATTTAAACACCGCTAACATCCTTTGCCATTAAACAATCCTTTCTAATAAAAAAAAATCTAAAATACTAAAATTGTCCCTACATAAACCTCAAACAATCTTTTTACATAAAATTTGATTAAAATTTGAGTCGATTAATTTTTTTTTAATATATTGAAATTTGACCTGCTTAAATTTTTTTACATATTAAAATTTAACTCAATTAAAATTCGATTCGAACTGATTAAGTTTTATTTTTTTTCACGTATTAAAAATTGAGTCAATTTTGAGCTCAATCTGAGCTGTTAGTGTCAATTAAAATTCGATTTAAATCGATTAAAATTTATATTTTTTACTTATTAAAATTCGTTCCAATTAAAATTTATATTTTTTTGCGTATCAAAATTCGAGCAAATTAAAATTCAATGCGAGTTTATTACAATTTGATTCGAGCCGATTAAAAATGGATTTTATTCGACTCGAATCGAATTTTATTCGGCCCAAATTTTAATACGAAAAAAAATTATAAAATAAAGTGGGTCCCATTGAAGATATATCTATTTAAAAGGGGTGTGAATGAAATTTTTCCTAAAATATATCATTAGCAATTTAGTAAAATTATATTCTTGTTAAGATATTTAATTTGATAAAGGGTGTCAGTAAAGATTCAGAAACTAGAAGGGTGTGTTTGAAGATATAATAAATTAGAGGAATGTGATTAAAATTTTCCCTAAAAACCATACAAAAATGTGTTTTGCTTTTATACATGTATCAATCGAACATCCGAAGATCTCCGATGACCGAACATCCGAAGCTCAAGTCAAGAGGATTTCAAGAGGAACCTTACATTTGAGAAAGTCCTATCCTATCAATCGATCATAGCCACGTAAGAATTGATCCTAGAATTTATGTTATCTACTGAGTTATTATCAATTGCTTATCTCTCTCAAACTCCACTTTAAGAGGGAAACCTCGTACACTTGATTGTACACTTGATCGGAATCCTTTAGTCATCTCCTTGACTGAAAATATTGATCAACCTGCGTTGATCGAGGTTAGAACAACTTCGTAGTGTTAGAAATCCTGACTGGTAGGATAAGAGCTAGCAGAAAGAGTTCGAATTCAAGCTAATGTTGGATTTCATGGCCGATGTCTAACTAGCACGAATCCGCCGATATGAAACGAGCTTCCCGCGGAGCATTTTCTCTTTTGTCATCGGATGTTTGGGCCTTTTGTTTTGGTTCCTCCACAACACAAATAATCAATGAGATTTGAAATATTAATCTTTTGATTAAAATTCAAACATCTGAACTATTAAATTTGAGGTGCTCGTGCTAATCAGTCATTTTTTTTATCAAGAAAATATTTACATATTGTTAGGGGCGGCATAGGATTTTGCTCAAGGGTTCACACAATAATATAGTACATTTGTGTTTTTTAACATCATATTTATATTTAAAGATTCAGGATTTTTGCACTTTATACTCCGAAAAATGTTTCAATTCTCACTTTACACCCCAAAATATTATTTTTCTCATTTTGCATCATGAATATCATAAATTGGTTTCAATGTAACCCTCGAACTAAAATTCGTTTCAGATTCCATTAAAAATTGATGCACATGTCACCCAAGAATATGAATGATGAGTTTATATTTTTGTCTAAAAACAATACACGTGGTTTTTCACTTAATCACTTAAATTTATTAATATTTAAAATATTACGCACAGACCTCCTAAAATTTGTACGCACGTAACGCTTAGACCTCTACCGTCAATGTCCTTATATCTATTAGTAAATTACATCAAGACGCATTTAAGTTTATAGGCATGTAACACTTGAACTCCTCAAATTTAAAATATTACACTTAAACTCTTAATTAGTTACAAAACTAATATAATTTATTAAACGACCAAATTACTCCAATTAAAGATAGAATATATTGTGTCAATTATAATTTGATCTTTTATTTGATTTTTTTTGTTTTATTCCAATAGATAATATAATTATATACTAATTATAATTTTTTTAAGAAAAATTTAGATTTTTATTTTTGATTTTATTTCAATAAATGATATAATCAAACATAAATTTTAATTGTAAAATTTAAAATATTTGATAGATACATTGACGCGGGAGTCTAAGTGTTACGCACATATAAACTTCAAAAGTTCTAAGTGTAATATTTTAAATTTCAATTGGTCTAAATGATTAAGTGATAAATTTCCACGTTCATCTACATCCAAAGTCCAAACACAAACTCAAACAATTCAGTTACATTCACGCACAAAAATAAACCTAGAAATTAAAAATATATATTTTCGTACATATCAATAAATCCAAATTCACAATGTGTCTAGTTGTTTAAACAAATACATAAGATATATCAATCGCAACGCACATTACATTCAATACTCCATTAGTATAAAGAGTGCCCGTCTCTAGCACACAATACTCCATATGCTCTCTTTGTTGCCCTTCACAATACACCAAACCCAGGTTGACCCTAACCGGCTCACTACCCTTGCTAAGGTAGCCACTGCCTCAATGTACATATGTATACTTGCTGCAAAACAAAGAGACAACATTAAAGAATAAGAAGACATGATGACGTGAATGCAGCAATTTTTGCCACATTTTTTGGAGGATAGTGAATAAGACCCGAATAAACCAGATTTTGGGCATTGACTCAATGCATCACAGACTAAATCCAATGAAGTAGGAAATCTAAGCAAGACAAATCCATTCGTATGGTTACAAGAAATACTCTAGTAGTACTGTGTATGTTTCTATAGAGATTAAACCTCTGAGTACTGTCTTCAAAAAAAAACTGAGGATAACAAATATAAACCGATTGCACAGGTTCTATTTATTTAAGCCGAATGACCATGTAAGACCCAATAATAAAGATGGGGCATTAATTCCTTTGCAAATGGGAGACATCGAAGCAATTTAAGCCCGAAAAACAATAATCTCTTGTTAGTATCCACGTCGAAGAAATAGACTATTTGAAAGAGAAGCAGTAGGCTATAAACCAATCTACCATAAATGTCATGACAAAATAACCAATCATTCAGTAACAACATCAGTCAATGAATCCACCCTGAGAATCTATTTGGTTAAATTATTCATCTGATTAATTATGTGCTCCCCTGTCAATGATGTTCGCCCTATTTTTGTGACGGAAACTATGAAATGACAATCGTGTCATCGACAGATATTGATTCTATATAATCAAATTTAAGTTGGTTTTACAACAACCAATCACGACCTCGCATCATTTTTTTGAGCTTCAATCTAACGGTTCGCACTCTCCAAAAGTTGGACTTACAACACTCCAACCAAAGCTTTGACTCGCAGCAAAGCACCATCAGATCAATAGGTTGCATGGAGAGCTGGAGACTTAACCTGATTGTACCCTTCCATAGCTATAACCCATAATCTGAGTCCTTTGTCTGGCTCACTCCTCCAAATTTTACCAAACCAGCTTCCATAACAGGTCTGCCCAAGCTTGTCAAGACCATATTCAGCCTTTTTCACCAAGCGATTTGATCCCAGACAAGAAAATGTTCTGCAATATTCTGGACTCTTCAAACACCATCGACACCATCCCCACCAGTCTCACTCGGTTACACATACATTACACCACCAAACACACATTGCCCAAGGACCCCAAACCAAATCGAACCAAACATACTGGAACAACCCTTCCAACCACCACCACCTCTCGACCATTGGCAATGCCCAACCCTAGACACCTCCATATTCAGAAAGCCCAACCACCCATTTGAACAAACATCAAAGTCTCACCCATTTCAACACTCTTATAGACATGTCTACGTGTACGTGCATATGTATATGTATATAGATAAGGCACTGTCATATAATTCATCAATGCATGCTATATGGATCTATATAATTGGAAGACACACCTTTTTCAAAGAAAACAAAAAAGTATTTAATGCACTTCCTGTGTTTCAAATGTTACAATGGTCACAGTTCTCTGAGTTTGTATTATTCTTATTATGTATATAATCTAATTCCTGTTTTTGGGGTCCCTTGTGGGAAGGAATCTCCCTGGCTTTATACTCCCCCCCACCCCCCCCCCCCCACCCTTCTCTCTTTTATGTGTGTGTGTTTTCCTTCCATTCAGTCATGTGTCCATTACCAAAAGCCTAAGCAATATGGGAGAGAGAGAGGATATCAGAGAATGACATAGACGAGACAAAACCACACTTACTGAACATGCAAATCTCACAACTAGCATAGCTCTTCTCTTATAGTCATGGTGGGTTTTGTCTTGGGGTATTTTATGGTTCTCCTGTTTCAGTCTTGGGATGTTGCCATTGTGAAAACTGATGGGTTGAGCAAAGGAGTTGGTAGACATCTCAACGAGTTTTACGTATGTCCTTTTTTTGGGATTGGTTTGGAGGGTTTTATTGCTTTACAGTTACATTACTAGGTTTTTGCTTATGGAAGAAAACAGCTGGATTGTGATAATTTCATGATTTGCATATCTTTTGGAAAACTTTCTTTTCTTCATCCTCCTCTGGTTTAAAAGTGATGCTTTGTAAGGAAGGTTTTACATTTCTGGGATTTGCCCCGGGGGTGGTGGTTGGTGGCAGTAATGTGTAGGGTGGTTCTAACTCTTTTATATATGTGATCTATCATGGGCAATCTTGTAAAATAACAATCCCCGTTAATTTTGTATCCACCAGATGTTGAAAAGGGGTGTTAGTGAATTTTCAAATAATGCAATGGGTGTCTTCAAAGATACATAATCTGCAAGGGGTGTGACCAATCATTTACATACTGATAAACTGCTAATAGAGGTCAAAACAAAATCCATCACCACAAGTTTCTTTAAGTAATCTCAAGAGATCCCATTTTCTTCGAAAACTATTTTTCCCCTGCCAGACAAAACATTAATACTTAAAAGGAAAAAAGTAAATTTCAGTGAATGGCCACAAAATACGACAACTAATAGCGAACAGATGAAGCAATACACAAATTAATTTTACCTCTATTTTCCTTTGTTATTGTTGCTGCCCCTCAGCCGCATCATCAATATTGAATGAAATTAGGCTTTCAACATAGGTATTGGCTTCAAAACAGGTACCAAAGTTACGAATCCGAGGATACTTGAACGTATCATCCTTTGGATTGTACAACCTTAAATAAGACCTCAATTCGAGCAGAAGTTCATCATTCTTGGAAATGCACAATGGTATTGTATAAATCACAGGATCTTGAAGATATGGAATAGTTGCGATTTTTGTCCAAGTCTCTCTCTTTCCATATTCCTTCATTAGCCATACATTTGCATGAATTCCACGGTAATCACAAAGTACACAAAGGCATCCTCCTAAAACCCCTAATGTCAAACTAAAATCACCATCTCCATATTTAGGTTGTGCCACCTCCCCAAACGTTTCCTTGGCTAAATCAAGAGAAACGAGCACCCAATAATCCATTCTCATATCTCTACTTGATGCCCAATGGAGTGCCCCATTCGTAAACTTACCCGAATCATCTAAAGGAATACCACCAGGAAATTCCCCAATACCTCTCCAACTGTCAGTCCTTAAACTATAAACCTTGACCTCAGTCTCATACAATCCCCCAATACCAAAAACACAGAAAATCCCCACAACTTTATAATCATCACTAATCTCATCATAACCAAACCCATATATAATATAACAACCATATTTCAATTTAATGCCCAAATTGGGCAATTTCTTCGATTCCCTCGTAGATGGGTTCCACAAAAATATACTATCTTCTTCAATAGCTATACACACTAACCCATTAACAGAACCCACAATCCAAACTGCATGATGTGGGTTTTTCATAGGATAATCCATCTCAATAGCATTAACAGAGGGTTCATACAATAGACAGTGAAGAGAGCAACTTTTGAGATCAAAATGAGGGCGAACAGAACTGAAAATGAGTCTACAATTAGCATAATCTTTGTTTCTGCTTGATACATCGAGATGGGTTTTGGCGAATTGTGTGCTAGAAATTAAAGAACACCATGATTTGGAAACACACCTGAACCGTAAGAGTGACTTCACGGGGAGTCTTGAGAGTATTTCTACAATGATTTCGTGCGGAAGGTTTTGCATTGGATTGGAAACTGGGTTTAGATTGGTGGTGATAGTGATTTGAGGAAATTCTTTGGTTCTCTTCGGGTGTTGATTGTTTGTATCGTTTTCGATTGCCATTGGGTGGTGCTTTTGGATTTGAGATTGTTCTGTTAAGAACAAAGGAGATTGCCTAAGCCAAAAGCAGCGGTTGATTAATACGGCCGATAATTAAGTCCAGCTTGTCGGTCGGGTCGGATAAACTCGAGTTCGGCTTGAGTTGTGTTGAATGAGTTAAATTTGCATAATTTTTTAGACTTATTTAAAAATTAAATTTCAAAAAATTCGACTCATAAAAGTCGGATAATTTATATGTAAAATAGTTCAGTTATTCAAGCTTAACTCGAGTTCAATTTATTATAGGCTTGTTTTCTTTTTTTCAAAACAGGTGCTCGGCTCAAATACTAAAAAAATCGACAACTTAAATAATTTTTTAAATTTATTTAAAAAAATAAGTTTGATTCGAACTCGTAAAACTCGCAAGGCCAACAGCGAAAAGGTGTTGAACTTGAGCATGAGCTTCTGAGTTCCAAGTTCAGGCTATACATTCAGCGTAGACGAGTAAACTGGGCCGAGTCGGCCCATTGCACCCAACCGACCCATTTAGTGGTAGTCCAGCACCGTATGGCCCAAAATTACGATCTCTTTTTTCTTTTTTTAAATTGTTTTACTTTTTATTCCCAATAGTTTGAAGCAATGTTGTCAAAAGCAGATCCGTCATCGAACCGGTAAGGAGAGTGGGTTGATAGTTCACTAGTTTAACTGTTAGGTTAATTGATTGGACCAGTTAAATAATAAAATCTCTCTCTCTCTATATTTATATATATACTAGTTAGTGCACATATATATTGCATGTGGGCCCTTTTAAATATCAAATAGTATATATTACTAGAGCAAAGATTATGTAATATTTATATTATTCAAATCATCATAAAACATGAATGCAGAAAATTATAATTCTAGTGTTATAGATGACATAAAGAAAATATACATTTCAAAAATATTATAATTATTTACACACTATTTTACGTTATGGATGTGAATATGCTTGAGAAAATCATTTTAATTCTTCAAAACCATGAAAACATGCAACATGCCTTTGTTGCTATGAGATATTACAATATCTCATGACACATTAAGTATCACATTTTTTTTCTCCTACACACATGCAATAAAACAAATTTGTAGATCCTAAACTATGGATACATGTGCATACTGAAATTATTGAAACTAACAGTGTTGCTTAACCAAATGGAGCCCAAGAAGATATTAATCGAGATCATATGCATGATCACTATCAAAATATAATATCTGCATCATAATTTCTTTATCCTTGACTCGTTAATTCATTTCATCTAAAAAAAATCTATTCAACTTGAAGTTATCAAACCAATGTGGTTATATAAGAGTTGATGAACCAAATTTTCACAAACAATTACAATAGGGATTTGTCATGTCACTTCTTTTACACTCCTTACCTGTACAAATTCTACAATATTAGTGAATCTTTAAATTGGAAAGAAGTTAGAATTAAATTAAAAAAAATTAGATGCAACCCATATGTCTAAGTAGTTTATGACATCTCACAAAAAAAAACATTACATGCACTATAAATCAGAATGATAAGACCAAAACCTATTTAATCCAAAGGACCAAAAATTATTGTATGTACACAGCAAGGAAAACCCAAAAAAAATCTCAAATAAGAAACAGAGATAGATGGACGAACAAAAAAAACAAATGAAATCGAAAAAATCATGGGAATTGTGACCATTGTTTTAAAACCCGGCCCGGCCCGGCGGGTCAACCCAGTGAACTGGCCCTCTAACCGGTCCAGGTCAATTAAAAGACCGTTTGTGTAAGGAACCCGGACTAAACCCGTTGAACCGGTCAAAAACCGCTAAACCCGTAAGAACCGGACAAGTTTAACAAACGGGCCGGTTTAACTTCCTTCTTATAAATCTGAGATTTTTTTTTTATTTGGGCATTTTTCCCCTTTTCGTTTTGCCCTAAATCATTCCACTTCCACCAGACGAGCAGCCTCGCAACGCCTCCACCACCAACCAGCTACCAGACCAGCCTCGCAATGCCTCCACCACCAACCAGCGACCAAACCAGCCTCTACTCCAGCACCAGCAGTGATCAGACCACCCTCCACTCCAGCACCAGCAGCGATCAGACCAGCGAGCAGACCACCAGGCAACAGCGGCTGAGTAGAGCTCCACCAACGACTGAGCACAGCCTCCACCAGCGACGAGGTGAGTTCCCTCCCCCCTTCTCCCTCTCCTTACTGTCTACTGACTCTACTCTCTTTCTTTCTCTCAATATATATTTGTGGGTTGGCTTTTTTTTTTTTGTGGGTTACGAATATTTGTTAGATTTATTGCCTTATGTTTGTTGCTCCTATAATTGTTCGTCAATCCAGTCCTCAGTCTCTTCTCTCTCTCTCTCTTTGCTTCTCCCTCTCTTTCTCTCTTTCAGGCTCTATCTCTCTCTCTTCTTTGCACTGCGTCAAAGTCGAGGTAGGAGGGATTCACTGGTCATAGCTCCATCGCCGATTTCCATTTCCTAGCATCCCTCAAGTGTGAAATAGCACACAGCATAGCAGGTACATCCTCTCCTCTATCTCTGTAGTCTGAAGTACTCTGCGTTGTGGTTTTGTGGGGATGCTCCAGTTTAAGGATTTAATAGTTCACTGATAATGGTTGCATGCTCTAGATTGGTAGATCTATTATAATTGGTAGATCCTCAATTATTCTGTGTGATGGATTTTCATTTTTAGTTTGCTGCAAAGTTTTGCTTTGAAGTGTATGTCATACATTGATGCGGGTTCAATTCAATGGTTGTTTATGTGTGTTTCTCATATTTTCCCATAATTAAGAATGATTTGTAGCCCCTCCACCACAAATAAATTAAATACTGAAAAGCTAAAAACAATAGAGAAGAAAGTGGATTCATGTTTGATAATTTTAGGGCTTTTGTTTCGTCAAATATACATTAAGCATGTTATTTTTACAATTATTGTGAATTTTTAGCCTATTTATTATCATTAATAATTTTTTTATTTTTTAATTATATTACCGGTTGAACCAGTGACCCATTGACCCGGTTTCTCTTCCAGGTTGATGTCTGGGCCGGGTTTTAAAACTATGATTGTGACGTTGAACCAAAAACAAAGGTACCAACCCAAGCGGCACGAGAATATATACATGCCTAAATCCAAACACCATCACCAACAAAACCACACCCTTGTTTGAGATCCAATGTCTTTAGGTTTAGATTATAACCACTATAACCTTTGTATACCGAGAGGAAAAGAAAAAATTAAGATAAAAATACAAAATCAATCAGTGAAAATTATCAAACCTATAACAATTCGAAAACCTAATTTGATAATTCATTAAAATGATGGTTGTAGTTTTTGTTGGCAGCTGCAAAAGAGAAGACGAGGTTGATGGGTATTTGTTGGTGAGAAAAATATCTGATAGGTATTTTTAGTAACCTCTTACCCCTTTTTAACTTCAATCCAGAGAAAGCTTTGATAACGGCCAAATAACTTCCACTCGTTTTTTTTTGTAATGGAGTAACGAAACTCCAAGAGTTTTAATAACTATCAGGTTTCCACAATTCAACTGATGTTGTAATTTAACTCATGCAAGTAACTTAATTAGGTTGATGAACAATAGTTGTTAATAGCTCAATAAAAAATTAGTGCAGCAGATAGATTAATTAATTAATTATGATAATTAATATAGTACTAATTTAACTTTATACAATTGTTTGAGGGTAATAATGACAAAAAAAAATTTTTTTGATTTAGTAGCCAGTAGTATAGATACAAATATGGATATAAATATATAGTATAGTTAAAAATATAGATAGATAGATATATAGAGGAAGATGAACAATCTTTTAGGAGTTGTGTCCCTCCATCTCTCTTGTTTCATAAACTAATAATTTAATAAAGAAATTAGAACATGAGGAGTATGTCATAAATGATATTAATATAATAAATAAAAGGTGTATTATATTGTCTTTATAATATATTTATTCATGGTAGTTTAGATAATTAAGAAATATTAGAGGGTAAAAGAGGAAAATGAAAGTTTTTCAAAGACACATAACTTTTTATAGATATATAGATATCTATATATATAGATATATATATATATTATAAAACTTATAAAATATAATAATTTAGCTAAAAAAATACGAAATATATCCACAATGCATATAATTGGTCCATAAAATTAATGAAATTAAGTATTAAGCAAATTAAAAAAGAGACCGAATCAAGTAAATAAAAATAGATTAAAAGATGATTAAAAGAGGAGACATAACAAAGCAAATACAAAAAAAAGTGTAAATACTCTAAATGTAGCAAATACAAAATCCAACAAACTGCAAGTGCAAATACTTATGTATTGATATGTTGATGTTTATTTCTCTTTCTTGTTTCTATGTACTGACATGATAATGTTTAGAGGTATTTTTAGGAACAGAAGAAATCGGAGGAAAAAAAAACAAGAGAAAGCAAAAAAACTCAAAGGAATGAGCAATAAACCAGACCAACTAAATGGTTGCCTCCCTGGCCTTCTCTTGCTTGCCCGAGTGGTGGGTGGTCACCTAAGCTATGAAGGAGGGATATTCGATTTAGGGCAAATGCCCCAAAAAAAGTGTTTTTTAATCTTTTTATGTATAGCCCTTGAAATTCAAACCATCCAATTTGACCAAATCACTCAGTTCACGGATTTGGTTCAAAACCGACAAGTTTAGTGGTTCCTAGATAGTCCGATTTTAATAACACTGTTTTGAAAAGTGATTCTATAAGGATGCATTTGTTTAGCGGGAGAATTGTAAAAAATGTAAGAAAGAGAAATTGTTTTAAAATTTTCATGTGTTTAGTTAGAATGAAAAGAAAAATAATAGAAAAAATAAATTTTTTTCATGTTTGAATTTCTCACAAATAACAAAAAAAATTTCTTGTAAAAAACACTAGGAAATGCAAGAAAGTTGGGATATATAACTAACTTCTCATTTTATCCTTATTTTTATTTAAATATTTTATTGGTTATTAATTTTGATGGGTTAAGCCCAAATAGTCCAATTTATGTGTTAAAGTCCAACCCCAGTT